TCCTTTATGCACACAGGAACCACAAGTGACCAGTTCCTCAGGTAAAAAAAAAAAAAATCCATAAATAAAAAGACACTAGAGTTTAATATGTGCAGCACAGATCATTTTAAACAAGTTTAACTTTTTCTTCTCCTATAGAGAAAACTTGGAGTGGTTAGCAAGAGCCACTAACTGGGCAAAGTTTACAGCTACAGCAAGTCTGGGTGTCATTCATAAGGTAAGACTTGATAATTATAAAGTGAAATTTGAAACAACTAACCTTTTAGCTTCTTTAAATTTGTGATTTGACTTTGAATTTTAGGGTCATGAGAAAGAGGCGCTCCAGTTAATGGCCACCTATTTGCCTAAAGACACTTCCCCCGGTTCCGCCTACCAGGAGGGAGGAGGCCTGTATGCTCTGGGCCTCATTCACGCCAATCATGGTGGGGACATCATCGATTATCTGCTCGGTCAGCTCAAAAATGCCAGCAATGATGTAAGGGTTTTTTCCCCCCATTTGTTTATATCGTTTATTTCCTTTCAGAATCTAATATATAATGTTGCTTGAGAAACACAGATTTTTTTTTTTTTTTCCCTAATTGTCTGGGTTCATTTTTTCCTTTTTTAGATTGTCCGTCACGGCGGAGCCCTTGGATTGGGTTTAGCTGCTCTGGGAACAGCCAGACAGGATGTTTATGACCTGCTGAAGTCCAACCTTTATCAGGACGACGCCGTCACTGGTAAGCTGCTGAAATCACCAAATCACTGTTGTCATTGCTGGCAAAGCAAATACAATATAAGAACTGTTGTGAATTCTAAATAATTTGTTCTCCTCAAAAAAAAAATTAGTTCATTTTTTAACTAAAATCGGCAGCTATTTCACGCTACAAAAAAACGAAACACATAAATTGTGCAGTTCAAACTAGGGCTGCACAGTATATCACAATACATATGATATTTCAACAGATTGGTCTTTTCAACCTCATTGATTATGTCAGTGAGTGACAGCAGCCCTAGAACTTGTTTCTTTTTTTTATACCGATCGCTTTTATGTTTAGTGAGGTAAAGTTCAAAACAAAGCATGCTGATGGTTTGATACAATCTCCAGGCGAAGCTGCAGGCCTGGCTCTGGGTCTGGTCATGCTGGGCTCCAAGTCGGCCCAGGCGATCGAGGACATGGTGGGCTACGCTCAGGAGACGCAGCACGAGAAGATCCTGCGTGGCCTTGCTGTGGGGATTGCTCTGGTCATGTACGGACGCATGGAGGAGGCCGACGCCCTCATCGAGAGCCTCTGTAGAGACAAGGTTTGACTTGGAGCCACAAACTTTTGTTGTATAAAACGGAACAATACATATTGCCCAGTAGATTTTAAATAAACTGGCTTGATTCATCATCGGAGGAGGAAATGTGGAGGGCATAAAACAATTTGAGAATAAACTAAAAGCCATTGTTCTTTATTAGGCTGTTGCACTACACATATGTTTGATGTATTGTGCACTCTGTAGCAGACTGTTTACTTTATGTCACGTGAGACTTTGTACTCCGTGCCAGGTTTCATTCTGTTAAAGTTAGCGGCGGGAAGGGACTCGAACCCAAACAAACACAGCTCAGCTCTCTGCTTTCTGTCATTGTTTATGGTAGGACCCCATCTTGAGGCGATCTGGTATGTACACTGTTGGAATGGCATACTGCGGCTCTGGGAACAACAAGGCCATCCGACGCCTGCTGCATGTCGCTGTGAGTTTCATCTGTAAAGCGCTCCTACTGGCAGGTGGACGGGTTTATCCACCTGGCTGTAAAACACATGCAAAGTAGCTTTTTAAAATATAATCCTACTGTACTGTAGTAACCATATGTTGATTTCTGTTTGATCTAAACCATTTCTATAAATATTTTCATGATTAATTTCGAAGGTTCATAAACTTTATGTTCAAAACAGAAAAAAAATCAAGTTTGTTCCTGCAGTTAAGTTTTTATACTGAATCACTGATGTTTTATTAGTTGCCCTGTAGGGGGTGCTCTCTGCAAGCTAAGTTTGTGCATGGGTGTGACAGTGGAGCTGCTTATTTTATGAGAAGCCACATCATTAAAACTAAAACTGAAGAGGTCCGGTTTTTTCCACTTTCTCTAATTAGTCTGCTTATTTAAATCAAGGTGAGTGACGTGAACGATGACGTTAGAAGAGCTGCTGTCGAGTCCATTGGCTTTATCCTCTTCAGGTAGGATCATGTTTTAATTCCTTCAGCTTTGACCAGCGTGCTTTTTATTTTCCATGAAAGCCTTTTTCAGCTTAAACTGACACGTTGTCTTGTAAAGTTAAGACTACATTAAGGTTTGCTTTAGTAAAAATTGTTTTTGGTGTGATTGGTACCAGAGTGAGAATAAGTTATCGATTTATGATTTATTTTTATGTTTTTATTACTTTTTATTTTTACAGTTTGCATAAAGTGGAGTTATGTCATGGCAACAAATATATGTTTTTGTTTTTCTTTATACTAGATAGACCTGAATTAAAATTTTTGGCTTGCATGCAAGAAGCTGTATGTTGCAGAAAACTTGCACAGCAATAATCCCTATGGTAAAACTTGGCTGTGGCAGCATCATGCTGTGGGAGAATCTATGAAAAGGCATGAAAACTGCAGTTCGGGGGCTCTCTATTTAACTGAGCTGGAGCCATTTTATTAAGGACACATTTATAGACTATAGGTGTTGAAAGCTGGTCGAGACGTACTGCTAACACCTGCAGCTGTTATGGAGATGAACATTTATGCTCAACACAGTTTGCAGATATTTATTTGATGAAATTTGGAAATAAGCTGTCATTTTTCATCCACTTCACAATTACACATGAGATTTTGTTGATCTATCACATAAAATCCCGATGAAATACATTCAGGGTTTGCATTGTGACAGGCACAATGCAGAAAAAAGTGGAAGTATTAAAGAGTGTGAATACCTTTGCCAGGCTTTGTATTTATATGTGCGTTTCTTTCTTACATTATTATGAATTTTATCATTAAATCCAAGCATTGTTTAATGTCATGTCAAATAAAAATCAGTGTGTACACACTGAAGTCCAAAAAAGGCTCTGAATGGTGTATGTGATCAATTGCTTGAAAAACCCTCCATAAATCTCCTTTGTTTAGAAAGACTCATGAAAAACAGGATTACACTTAGTCCACACATTTCCAACCCCAATGACTCATTTAGTCATGTGCACAACCAGACAATCAGGTCAACTGCGACTTTGAGTCTGCCATGTTTCTCTCTTTCATTATAAATAAATGGAGCTCTTGAAAGGAGATGGAGGCCTAAGCAAAAATAAATCTGGATCACACTTTCTTCTTCTTCTGCTTCGTTTTTACCTCTGTGTAAACTTGTCATTTCTTTCTCATTAATCCTATTTTCTCAATTAGGCCGAGTTTAATCTAAACTACAAGTATTTATATGTTTGAATTGTTTTTGCCCCTGAAAAATGTCGTCATCTGATGTATGACTACAAATAATTAGCTGCAGTTGAATACAGGTATGGTTGTGCAGTATATTGCGGATATATCAATGTATGCAGTACTGATTCTGGAGAATTCTGTTTGGAGAGCTATAATGGTTGGCTAATACATCCCAGGTGTTAGGAACATGCATTTTCTTATGCTAATGCAATATTTAGTCAGTTGGACGTCCTCTCAGCAGCAGACGCTCTTACAGGACACAGTCATTGCCCAAAAGGCTAAAGGTCACAGAGTGCAGGAACCACATATGAGAAACAGAGGAAAGAAGAAAATGGACAAATGTCACAACTGATATCCTTATTGCATTATGTACCAATACTATAAGCATCACTTCTCACTTGAATAACGACCAGTCCTAATGCCGTTGCACTTTAAGTCTACACACACTGGAACTGCTGCCAGACTGTGTTTCTATTCCCCTCAAACGTTTATTTATTTAGTCATTTTCAGAAGGCAGTATTTTGGCATCTTGTTGTGCTTTGGGCAGTTTTTGCTTTAGAAGATGGCAAAACAAAGTATTTTTTATTAAAGAATATTCAGAATCCATTTTATCTCTTTGTTCGTTCATATGTACACACTTCCATTCCAAAACCATTTTTAACATTTCAAACCAGCAGGCTGCAATACACATACAGGAGAACTTCCCAGTCATTCAGCAAATTTAAAAAGTATCAAGAGTTCAAAGAATTTGCCCTTTACAGAAGAGATTCATATTGTTTTAAAATGTAAGCGTGTGGTCTGAGAGGGTTTACAGCATATTTAGACAGTCCAAATTTAAGGATCAGCAGAGGAATATATTATTATATACAGCATTCAGAGTTTTTCCCAGGTTGTCACGTCTTTTGGCCTAAATGGGTTCCTATTCAACACTTTCTGCTTGTTTAGTGAAACAGTTGCAACTTTTTTTTTTCCAGCTCTTTTCTGAATACTGTCTGGAAACTGAAGCTTTCTCTTCAAGTATATCAACAAATTACATGGTAAAAAAATAACCTGTGTTTAAAGGCCCGCTGCAAAGATGATGTAACAAGAAACACCAACTTGCAAAAGTTTTCAAACCCCTGAGATTTATTTTTGTCAGTTTACATTATCAAAATTTAATGCACTGTACTGAGGATTTTTAATGTGATAAAGATCAAATTGATCTTTGTAAAGTTGTAGGAAATGATACCCCTAAATTAAATCAATTGCAAAAAATTGCCTGTAGGGGGCGCTCTGGTCAAATGAGACGAATGAATGTTGACTTTTCATGCCAGAGACGGTACATCACACCATCCTCAGGGTGAAGCATGGTAGTGGTAACACCATGCTTTGGGGAAACTTCTTAGGAACAGAAATGTGGATTTGGAAGTAGATGGTGCTAATTGCAGGATAAACCTGAGGGACTCAGCTATGTCTGAACATACAGACTGAGGTTTAGATCAAATTATGTTTGTTATGCCCCAGTCAATGTCCTGACTTTTTTTTTAATCTTAATTTGTAAAACATTTAGTAAAAGTATGTAAACGTTTTTTCTTTCATTTCATAATTACGCACTACTCTATGACAAAATGTTAAAGGGGTTGTAAAACTTTTGCAAGGAAATGTAAGTTTTGTTGCCTCATCATTATGTCACATAGGTGCAGACTCCAATCTTTGTTTTTTTAGATTTTGGGAAAGCCTTTGTCTTTGAATTTGAATATGCATCAAACCAAGCCACATCATCTGTGTATGTATTCATACACAGCTCACATGTTCTTCCTGCTTAAAATCTTCATTTTCAGTCAAAAGAATTGTGTTTAGCAGAACACCGCCTGGTGACTGCACAGCCTGCTGGCACCGTAGTGGACTTTGGTAGCTCACTCGTCCAATGCCATTCTTCATTCCCCGCTTCATGAACAGTTTTGAGTTCTCTGCCATGGAAGATTTAAACGAAATGCTTGTAAGGTTCCAGTCTGCAGCGGTCGAGCCGAGCTGCCGTCCCAGCCTGTCTCTCGTGCAGTTTTTGTAGTTACAGGTGATGTAGCGTGTGAAAGCTTCCCTGAAGGTTTTATTGAAAAGTGTGTAGACCAGAGGATTGATCCCAGATGACACGTAGCCAACCCAGACAAAGATCTCCATCAGACGGGAAATTACCTTCTCAACGCAGCTGGAGCATAGAGCCGAGGTGATGTTTGTGATGAAGAACGGGCACCACATGACGACAAACAGGAGGAAGACTATGCCCAGCACCTTGGAGGCGCGCTGCTCGTTGCTCAGAGTCTGCATTGACTTCTTGCCCATCGTCGACATTCTGCGGAAAGATATTTCCTTCTCCGTGGGAGCGGTCATCATGTCCGCGTTTGGTTTTTCTGGGTGCCTGGGAAGTCTGATATCCAACATGTTCATTTGCTCAGCTTGAGGAGAAGCTAAGGCTGGGTCGCTTTGGAAAACTGTGGAGATCGGTGAGGAGCTGAAGCGTTGGGTCACCTTTGACCGCAGCAAATAAACCTTTTTGCGCAACACTTGCACGGTGAGAAGGTAGATGATCATCATGATGGTCAAAGGGATGAAGAATGCTGTCAGGGAGCCAAAGATGATGAACTCTGAGAAAGTGTTTGGTTTTAGCAGGCATGTGTGATTACTGTTGAAGGTGATGTTCTTGTCGTGAAGATTCTTCAGCCCTTTTATCGGGATTGGGATTGCAATACCTGGAAAATAGAAAAGACTGTTAATATTGGCAAAAGTAAACACTAAAAACTCTCTAAAGCCATTTTTAAATATCTTATTAGAGTTTTAATCTAGGAGATTATGGCATGTTTGGTCAAGTACAACACTATTGTTTTTGTTGGCAGCTCATTGTTGATACCCAGTGAACGATGGAAAAACTTAACTGGATAAATTGGCCACGATACAACCTTCCATCCGCTTACTCATCTACCCAATTTCTTTCCCAGATGAAAGCTTTTCATTTATAGCAGCTGACAGATATTTGACTCTTGACCTGAGCTGCCAAAAATCCTAAATCAAAAACTTAGTTCTTAGGGGGAAAACTACTGAGTAATATGTGACTACTCCAGAGATTTGAATGGCAAATAGTTGATGCATCCAGGAGCAATTTGTTTTTCTAAAAGTCCACATGAAAAACTACATTGGTTCATAGTTCATATTATATATTTGATATTAAAATCTGCTGAAGCTAATGTTTGATCTATCTTATTAACAACTTGATGTTTTAAGTTGTAGTGGATTGTCTTTTTAGACTCATTAAAATAAACTGTAATATAGGGGTGGGCATTTATTGTATCATTTATCGTGAGAAATTTCTTACAAGAATTTTGATTTATTGTCACAATTAACTTCAACTAATGTAAAAGTATAGTGTTACTATTTCTCCACTGTTCAATGAAGACATCAATAAATACTAATAAATTTGAAAATCCTGCTTTTGTGTGCAGTTTAGTAATAAAAATCACACTTCTTTACGTGACTAGCCTCACAACCATTGTTGTCTCGATGCACTCCACAAAATAAATATATATATATATATATATATATATATATAAAATATATAGGAAATGGTTTATTAGCCCTTTCTAGATGGGTGTTGTCTGTTGTAGTTGCTCTTTGAGATCTTGCAGCTCACTTCATGTTGCCAGACGGATGTTATTAGGTGATTCTGATTCATTAGGTCAAATAATCATCAAATTGGTTTGGGTTTCCTTTTTTCCACATAAAACATAAAATCATCATTTGAAAATAGCATTTTATAGGTTTGTTTTGTCTGATACTATAATCTTTTGACCTAAAACATCTAAATGTGACACAAATAAAAACTTTCACGGCTCTCTACAAGCTAGTTAACATAGCAACCAAAGCATGAACACTAATCCTTTTCATGGGTCAGCTAAAAGGCAGGATACGGTCCAGAGATCGTAAAATACCCAGTTCTTTACAAAGAGGAAGGATAAATAATAAGCTTACAGATGGATATGAGCCAAACGAGTGCGATCTTGGCCAGGGCTTTGGCTCTGGATTTGTATTGGCTGTGTTGAATTGGCTTCTTGATGGCGATGTAGCGATCCAGTGAGATGGCACAGAGGTGCATAATGGACGCTGTAGAGAAGAGCACATCAAGGAAGAGCCAGATTGGGCAGAGAAAGTCTGGAAGAGGCCACCTAGAGTCTGAAGAGAAGACGAGATAAAGGTTAATCTTATCAACTATTTCCTCGTACAGGTAGCTATCACTGATTTCATCATGTCTAAAATTAGCAGCTAAATTAATGAGCTTGTTGGGTTTTCTTATGTTAAGAAACCCTTTTCTGACTGTTATGGGAGATTCAGGGAAGCTGAAGAGATTACAAGCATCAGTCATGTAAAAAAATTGATGTTTGTTTATGTGTGTGAGGAATGTCTTTACTGGAAACTGAGGGTTCACTGCCTGTTTATGGAGCTAAAAGTGCTTCATGTAGATTGTGGCTTAGACTCAGCTCAACAGTAGTGTTTATTTTGACTTCAGGCGTAAAACTGGCAAGAAATTTGTTCTGGCTTTTGTCTCTGACTCCATTAACTGTACAAAAGCCTGTTTGTGGAAATATTTTGTATTTTTTTTTCACTTATTATGATTATGTTCACTTATGTTTCATACTGGGGGGGATTTTTGACTCGGTGTTGGTCAGTTTGGGAGGATTTCATTGATGAATAGCAGCTCTCTTTCTCCTTGAGTGGATGCTCACTGGAGGCTTTTTTTTGTGGAAATGTTGATTAAATTTGTCTTGAGAATAAACAGAATAAGCTGTGAAAGTCACCTAGCCACAGGCGGGCTTTTCATTTCGTTAAACTGAAACGGGAATGTGTGAATCATACAACTTTGTTATAATATTCGACTTTGTCAGCAGGCTGCTGCCCAGTTGTGGTCACTTAGTTTACAGAAGCATTTTATCTTCTTCTCAGTTTATTTTAAAGCAGTTTAACTGCCTTCATTTTCTTTCATTTGTCCTTTATGTATTTTTCAACCAAACATCACTGGCCGTTATAATTTCCAGAATTTTCTGGTCCTCACTTGTACTCATTAAGAATGACGGAGCTCTGAGCATTGCAGTGTAGTTTTGTGTGGCTTATTATTGTTAGAAAAAATACAAAATGGCATAGAATGGTCTTAAATGAGATTTTTCTGCTCTGGAATCACAATGTTGATCTTAACATAATTAGCAGACCTGAAGGTCCACACACAGGCTTTGTGCAAGGTCTCTAAAAAGTCAGAAAGAACTTAAACTTGGTGATCTTTAGGCAACACTGGTCTTTTTACTCCTTGTACACATGGAAGAAAAATAAGTAAAACAGATGAACAATTAATAATTTAGTTATAAGTTTGCTCATTGTTTCTTGTTTACATTTATTTATTTATATTTTTCATGAGAATTGTACTGACAGTATTTGCCTCCTCTGTAATTTTGTAGTGAGGAATCCAGGCAGCACTTTGGTGTGACAAAACTACAACCCCCATGATGCATTGAAGCAATAAATCCTGATGAAAGGAAATTATCCTCAGATTAGGCATTTAAAATGAAAACATTCTTAAATTGCTCACCACCAGCTTCTTCGTCTTGGCAGAGTGTATTTATAAAGAGTTGCCATTAAAACAGTAATCGCATTATCTTGCTAAAATCCTTAAGCAGTATATGGCATTGAAGCGTCTTAAAAGCATTTTAAGACGCTTAAAATACATTTAAGTTTCTAAAAATATTTAGAAACTTGAATATAAATCGGTTTGATCTCCAGTTCCCACAGGGTTAAATGTTTAAACAGAGATGAGAACAGTTCCTGGTTTTAGCACAAAGCTAAGGAACATTTCTAGAATACCTGTCTGGATTTACATTGCACACACACAAAGCATCGGTCAACCTGTTTTATTTTTACCACTTGGCCAGTGTGGCTTTTAGCATTGCTTAAATATTCAAAAGACAGCCCACTTAAAACCAGGTTTGATTTACAGAGATTCCATTTATTCTATGTTCTTTTACATATTTCTAAATGATGTTTGTTGCTAACAGCAGATTGTCACTACATACAGTATCCTGTGTTGTGTGCCAGAGGGTTTGGTATGAGGTGCTGGTCGTCCTCCTGGCAGCTTCACGTTGATCAGTCAGCTCTGCTGTGCCTCACCCGGGCCTCATGTACACATTATATGTCCCTGTTTACGCCTCCTTGACCTCCTCCTGCACATTTCAGCACTTGGTGCTGCATCTGCTCTGATCGGAGGCTAAAGACGGCTGTCTGTAAAGGTCATCAGCCTTTAAAGAGGCTTCCTCTTTACTGATGGCGGAGGTGAAAAGCACCTCAACAGCAGTGATGGAATTAAAGAAAATACTGAAACCGTGTTTATTCGTGTAACATAATTCCATGTAGCTGTTTTGGGAGGGTGGTTTTTGTACTTTATCCTGATTTCTTTTAGACTTCTTGCTTTTCTGTTTCAGAAAATCTTAAAATTAACTTTTTTTGACTTTCATCTTTTTCTTTCTTTCTCAAAATATCAAAAAGGAAAAAAAAACTGAACAGGGTCTGTGTTGAGGCAGCAGACACATCCAGTTCTTTTGAAAACCATTGTGATAGAGGACGCCTTGTGTAACACCATCTTCCATTCGTGTGTGTGCGTCTGTGTGAGACGCATAATTACTATGTGGCCCATTACCTTCCAATTGAATTAATGAAGAACAGCTTCACTGCAGTACTTCGCCCTGAACTGTGTTGTGTTGTGTAGAAGTCGTGGAATAGACTTGTAAGTGGGCAGACACGCCACTGTTTTTATTAAGAATAGTAAACAACTTTAAATGGGAGATGTTTCATATTTCATGCCTGTGCTGAGTGGCTCAGTACAGGCCTTACTGCTTAAACTACAGGGGGAATTTTATTTCTTTTGTTTTAGCTCCTCTCAAGTACCTTTGTGTGTTCTACTGTGTGTATTTGGTGCTTCCTAGAGGTATTTTCTACTTTCAGTGTCAGTTTTTCTGGATTTTATTATGAAGAAAAACGTTTCTGTAAGCAGTTTGTCAGGTTCTCTTTAATTGGCAAGTTAAATTGAGTGGGAAAAAGAACTTAAATGTAGCTTTTCCATTTGAAGACTTTTATTGCTTTGCTTTGTCTCAGCAGGACACTCTTTATGCTATAAAATATCTTGTTATACTTACTATAGAGAATAGTGACGAGTGCGATGGGCATCACTAGAAGTCCCACCAGCAGGTCGGCGACCGCGAGCGACATCAGGAAGTAGTTGGTGGCGTTTTGCAGCTTTCTCTCCAGCGACACGGCCAGAATAACCAGAATGTTTCCTCCTATGGTGGGGATGATCACCATGACGATGAGGAGGGCGGCCCATCTCAGCTGAGCCGCAGGCTCCTCGTCTGCATCTGAACTGTTATTGAGCGGGTGAAACATGTTGCTGCTGATGCTGCGGCGGGCCTGAGCGTGGGCGGTGGCTCTGATCTCTCTGCTGTCAGACGCTCGGTCAGCATGGTCACTGGGTCCCGCAGGCGAAGGCGCAGGGTCTGCTGGGGCCGCTCAGGGCCGGTGCACAACATGCATCGTCCCGTGAGCAGAATGACAAGTCTTTGAAATGACGATGGCTGAAAGATTCAGGGTGTGAAGTTAGCAGGGCCGCTGCAGTAAACTCCGGAGCTGGAATAATCCCATCACGAGCAGAACTTCCACAGCAAGACGATCACAGAGGTCCTCGCTTTCCCACGCAGCCGATTCTCCCGTCATCCACTTAAAACAGCAGAAAAAGTTTTACATTTTGTTCTTTAATGTGTCCCCGTGTTAATATTATGGAGAAGAATAATTCATTAGTGTAGTTTCTGTCTATTAGAATAAATCTATGTCCTAAAATACGCCGCTGCTTTTGAAAATGTCAAAAACTTCAACAAAGTCTTACCTTTTTCCCAGGTCGGTGCTTGATGAGCTCCTTTTGCATCTCAGTCCTTTAAGTATCTTCCCAAGCTGCAGCTCAAAGCCAAATGCATTTCAATCTTGGCTTTCTATCTATATTCTTCCACAGCTTTTATTGCTTCCTTTAACTGCAACGCTTTCCACATAAGAATGAAGCCGAACGCCCCGCCGCAGCAGTTAAATCTGTCCCAGACTGTAGCGATCCATGATGCCGTCTTGGCTTTCCCTCCACATGCTGGAAGGAACTCCAGGCTTGCTTTGCATCACCTGAAGCGATCACAGGTTTAAAACTTTCAGATGTTGCGGCCCTGCTGCCTCCCTCTCTCGCCGGCTCTGCTTCGCAGTCTGCAGTCGGATCGCACTCTGTCCTGTCTCATTCGCCGTCTCATCCACCCCCCACTCCACCCACCCCTTCATCTTGCGAGCCAGACTCGATACGAAACAGATGAATGTCTTCTTGCTGGCCACGTGCCAGCGGTTCAGGGAGGTAATTTCCCTCAACACAGCCGTCCTGCTGTTTATATTTGCCACTCTGTGTTCTCTCCCCCATTGGAAACGAGCAGTCACTCCGGGGGAGGCAGCAGCGGTTTTTTTTTGGGGGGGACCTTTTTCTTTTCTGTTGTGGTTGTACTGTAAAGCTTTTCTCCCCCTTCTTGTCCCCACTGGGCTCAGATGTTCAAGCAAAGAGAGTTTGAGCCAGTCCTCTGATTGTTGAGGTGCCTGAAGATACAGATATAGATGTAGATGGTTTCATTTTGAATAATGAAAACATAAAATACAAAAATATTATTTAGGCTGCACAAATAACCAAATTACAAATTAGTATCTGAAGATTACAGTATGCTTATAACTGCATTCAAATAGACACTCAAATATGTATAAATGTATTTTATTTCCACTTTTTTGCATATATTTCCTTGTTTGTTCAAAGAGACGCAGAAGCTTTAAACCTTTAAAAACTGTAGAAATGAGCAAAAATACTGAGCTTTCTGTAAATATGGCAGGGATTTATTCTTATTACGAAATACAGAGTTTAAAATGCCTTTAATTGGTAAAGTATTTTCTTAATGTGTTGCAAAACATTTTCTGCTTTTTATTTGGTGTACTGTACTCTTCTTTGTGACATGAAAAGTTTGACGTAAAACCTTATTTTTGTTGGGGGATTTTTTTTTTTTTTTTTTCATTCTGGCAGTCTGTTCATTTGTTTTTATGTGAGCATACTATCCAGAATATATCCCTGCCTTTTTATGATTATTTTTTTTTACTTCCTGGACATGGCTTAAGCTTTAATTAAATCCAGGTGTCAACAAGGAAATCCTCGCTAGTTTATTGGCTTTCTAATAAAACCCAGGTTTTTATTGTGTGTTTAGATGAGTGCTTGTAATGGACGCAGGCGAACAAATGATGTGCTCTTTAAATGTTTGTTACACATTGCCCAGCATCATCATTTAAACAGCTTGTATTCCTGCTTCCTTTTGCGACAGCAACATGCAAAAACACTCCCTGAACTAGTTAAAAAGAAATGTGATTCATTGACAATTGTTTCTTTCTTTGACACTTTTTCAGGTAATTTTCATCTTTAGTCTAACACTTTAAACATTTCAGTAAATACCTTGTTTTCAGGTTTGCCCAAAGATAGAGAAAATAGACAATAACAAAGTTCTTAGTTTTTATCAAATCATTATTAAATGACTTTAATATGTTGGAAATCACTTCTGTTTTGAGTGGGGGCCATGTTATAGTGTGGGTGAGGGTTTGTTTTTTTAAAAGAAAGTGAACTTCAAACTCCATTCATTTCTTCCCCCTGTGTTTTTCTGAGCAGGACTCCGGAGCAGTGCCCCAGTGTGGTGTCTCTCCTGTCAGAAAGCTACAACCCTCATGTTCGCTGCGGGGCGGCCATGGCTCTGGGCATCTGCTGTGCTGGGACAGGCAACAAAGTCAGTTCATCCTTTGTTTCTTCACGTTTATTCGATCCTTTTCATGGGTTTTGGTTAGATGCCGGTTATTAACTCTACAGATTAAAAATTATTAGTGAATCTTTTTCATGGGTTTTGATTAGATGCCGGTTATTAACTCTACAGATTAAAAATTATTAGTGAATCTTTATTTTCAAAAAGCTGTATTTTTTTTTTTTGTCGCTAATTTTTACATGTAATTTGTCCACCTTGCTATCTTCATGTTTCAAGTCCATCTTTCATTCCTCCTGGCACAAAGTGTGCGTCACCGATGTAAAGATAATCCAGGCTGAATGAAGCAACTGGTTGTTGGCTTGTTTATGAAATTAATGCAACAGAAGATTTCAGCCTAGGCTATCCTCCTTTGACCCCTGCAGGAAAGGAACTTGTCCAAAACATCCCGGCTTACTTTTGCCTTTGCTTTGTATACTTTTGCTTATTACGACATGGTGGAAAATATTTAGATTTTTGATTTGTTGACATTTCTTGGAGTTAAAATGGCAGGCCAGCACAGAAAAACTCAGATGTGAAAAGTTCACTGCAGATTAGCTTCTAAAGTGATGTGAGCTGGCACGCTGTCGTTCGGCTTTACTTTGTGCTTGTGATCGGGTTCTCTGAAGTCCAGAATCCAGAGCGAGGAAGGCAGATGCAGGGGTGCTGCCTGTTCCCGGCGTGTTTAATTATGAGTGCTGATCAGCACCGAAGCACTAAAGTTAATGTTTTGCACCTGATCAGCTGTTTAGTTTTTTAAAATCTTAGACTTTGAATATTCTTCTGACCGGGTCAGTGTCTCCTCAGGGAAAATGCAAATTTTGTGCCACTGGGAAAATGTCAACCTATTTTTCAGCTTTTCCTGCAAATAGGAGGAAAAGTTCTCATTGTTTCTGCACTCTGTCACCAGATACTGTTTTCTCAAAATTTGTATAAATAGAGAAATTATTTTGTGGTTGAATGAGTTATGCTCCAATCCAGTTGTTTATAAGCTTCCAGACAGCTTTTAGAAATATTGAACTTTAATGTTGGGAGCAAAAAGTGAAGGAAGCAGCCCAGCAGTTTAATTAATGCGTTCTTTAGCAGCCAACCGGGGTTGCTGATTGGATAAGACAGTAAATGCCTTTAATTACCTCCCTCCCACAATGCAGTGTGGGCAGGATGTGGTAGACGAGCGCTGGCTTTACACGCTGACTTATCGTCCCACAGCGCAGCCGTCTCAGCCAGTTAGGCCGAGAGCGCTGATGAAACGTCGTTTATTTTACCTCCACTGTCATCATCCTGGTTTGTTGCTCTTTCCTCTGCGGGCCCGACACCTCCCGCCCGGCCTGCTGGTGTTAGTTACAGCCATAACTGCTCAAGAGACATAAAAGCTGCAGTGATGGACTGGCTGCAGAGCAGAGGAGAGCGGGGAGGTTGTCCTCCCTCGTCCACTCCCTCCTTCACACCACTCATGGGAAGAGAGTAATTGTTAACTCTGTTGTCCTGGGAAACCAGATATGGATGACACTAATGTCATTAATTTGTGAGGTCTGTTTGCCTCTGCTGATAATGTCTTTTCCTGTATTTAACCAAACAAAAGTAGCACTGTTGGAGTGATCTGTTCGTCAACAAACTGTTGAAAACAAACTGCAAAACAAAACTGTGATTCTTGTTTTTGCACAAGTGACAGCCTGGCTACACAAAATCTTTGCAAGAATTTTGTGTAACTTTTTATCTAGTTTCTAGTACAAATATCTTAGTTTCCCCTTATATACAAGAAACATTTCAGCAAGATTTTAGGTCAAGAGTTCCTTAAAATTAGGTTTGTTTTTTTTTAAATGTACTTGTTTCATTGGCAGATATTTTCACTTGTAACATGAGAAAACTAGCCAGTGAAACTAGCACATTTTATATCAATATTAAGGAATTATTGACTTACAACAAGCTTCTGTATCTTGTTGAAAAGTTACTTGTAAGTTAGTTTTGTCTTATTTAAAGTGTACCGAGATATTTTCACTAGAAGCTAGACAAAAGAATTGATGGTAAGATTTTGTTTTTGCTGTGTCCTTTGTGAATTAAAGCTAATTCACAAAGGACTTTGTTTTGACTTTTTCAAGCTGTGATAAATGTAACCACTCAGTCTTGTTTCTGTCTCTTATCTGTTGGACTTCCTGCAAATGCAGCAAAGGTTTTCACTTTGAAAATGCAATGAGGATGAGTAAAACAAAGGAAAGAAATGTTTTCCAGTGCAAATATATGAATGTTTACCTGACTGTACCACGTGGAAAAAAGAACGCTAAGTAAGTTAAGTCCGCCACCTGCAGCTCAAGCTAAGTTAGTTATTGTTTGGCTGGTTGCATTTGCTCTTGAGAGTCGTTACCAAACTGTGGGAGTTATTGGACTAAAGTCAGGTAGTTGTTGATCTGCTTCCCTTCTGGTTCAGGTGTTGTTTTGATTCACTTAACTGAAGCAGTTAAGCCAGTGAAACCATGTAGTCTAGAGCAGTCTTAGAGGTTAGCTTGCTGCAACATGCATATTTTCATTAAACGATTGCAGCAAAAATGAAATTATTGCAAGTGAAATAGTTTTGAAAATGGTATCTCATTTGGTTTGGTGTTGGTCTCACCTTCCTGAAAGTTTTGGTCTTGACTTGGGCTCGGTTTGCTCTGGTCTCAGGTCCGTTGTTTCTAAACTGCAGCTCCAGACCACAGTAATAATACTGCTTGGCCTGGAAGACAAAGCAAAGTACACAAATTATGGAAAAAGTACCAAGTGATCCTTTATTTATGTCAAATAATCCTTGACAGTCCTTCATAGAAAATCTACGTTAATGAAATATTTATCATTAATCATTCAATTCGTTTAGCCCCCTAATTACCACGTGGAAATGTTTTGGATTATAGATTTATAATTCCCCACCTCAGGGTTTATGACATGCAGCTTAACTTAGTCCTCTGTTTTCGACTTTTCTATTTTTCCTTCACAGGAAGCGATCAATCTGCTGGAGCCCATGACTAACGACCCGGTAAACTACGTGAGACAAGGTGCCCTCATTGCCTCGGCCCTCATTATGATCCAGCAGACTGAGGTTACCTGTCCCAAGGTGAGTGAGTCGGGAAGCTGGCTTTATTGTCCGCAGCCTGGATCAGCGAGTTGATCTGGACTTTTGTGTTCCTCAATAAGAAAAACTGGAGAAAGTAAAAATGCATCAGATTTGTGTGGAGGAGAGACTCCATTTGGAAAGATTAAAACAGAGAACGTAGCTGGCATAACTGCACACACTTGGCCTTGAGGCGCCCCAGCCTTTGTCACTGACTGCTAAGAAATGCCAGACACATTTTCAAAGACTTCTCATCTGCACAGCAACATACATACCTAAAAGCTTGAGCTGGTATGCAGGATTGTGCAAGGAACACTTTTCTTTCAAAAGTTTAGTCATTTGAAACTTTTCTTTTACATTTCAAATGACTAAACATCAAAGCTAAGATCTGTCCGTTCTGCTTTTGCCTCAGTTTTGCCTATTTGGTTGATAAATATCCAGTCCAGCATTTCATCACTTTCAGTCCAACAAGCACTACAGTGATTGTAGTCAAAATGCTTTGCAGAAGTGTTGAACACTTCAAATATGATTCATTTTGTCGTGCGACACTTCAACAGTTTGATGTGTTCACATTTGGATCTACTTCTTAGAAATATTTAAAAGTTTTGCTTTGCCTGAAAAATATGTAATTTGCCAGACAAAACATTTTTGCAAAGATGTTTTTTATGACATAAATCAAAACACGTTCATACTGGTGCTTGCAATCCTTGAAAATGCTTGAATTTCAATTTGGTGTTTTTAGAAAGTGCTTGATTTTTGTG